AACAGGATATTGATTCCCACTTTACTCTTTGATCCACTACATCGATAAGAAACATAATGTGCTCTCTATATCAAAGAATCGATTCAGTTCTTAAAGATACTATAATAACGAATGAAAGCACAAATCTTTTTAACGAACGACGGCAAGTCTAAGAAAAAAGCAATTGTCCTAAGTGAGAAATAAGAAAGTGCTATAAAGGAATTATAGATTGTGATTAGTTAAGACGGCAATCTAAATGGCACCAATACAAAATGAATATTGTTTGTTGACGCCAAAAGGGTAATTTGGCAACATGGCATATCTGTTCCATTAGCAGGTCTAAGATTTTAGCGATCGTCTGGCGCGCTCTAGATTTAATAAATCTGTTTTGGTAGAAAGCTTTCTTTCAGCAAACGAMTTAGAGAGGCTGCCTTAAGACTTACCTGAAGACTTCCCTTACGCTTTTCATTATTTGATTGGGGGAGTGAAGACTTAATTTCTGCTTCGCGCCAAATTTTTCGAAGAGTCGGTGAATAAGTTATAGCGCCATGCCAATCCGTCAAAATAGACGGCATTTCTAGCGCGAAACGCAAACAAGTCAATCATAACCAGGGGCCTTATCTCTTGCAGAAATTATGCATTGACTCATTTTCTAAAAACGATTGCATRCTTGAGAAAAGTCTAGGCTGCTCTACATGAAAAAAGGTAAAGAYGTCTAAAAACAAAGTTAAAACATTCGGTTGTTGTGAAGAATTGTCAAAAATGTAAATAAACATTCGTTGCCACCAGCCAGACTGGTGTGGAGGAGTCGAAAATGCTTCAAGTTATGTTTCAACCATGGATAGATTGGGCAAAATATCATTATAGACCCTTTAATTTAGCTTGGGCAAAATTAAGTTCTCCCAATTCAAATGACGTGTCATTCCTAAAAATATCATCATTTGCGCTTTGTTTAACAGTCGTACATGAAAAGACACATGAATGTGGATACAACTGAAACAAAGAATCTTATTTTTTAGAGAATAACACAGGGTCTGAATGGGTAAACATCACGCCTAAGCTTATGGGGTCATTTGAATCAGAAAAAAAGTGATTCGTATAAATTTCATACAGCTATGAAAGGGTACGGCACTTCACACGGTCA